TCACCATTGGCAATGAAATTGCTGAAATGTGGCACAAATGGAAGCTTACTAAATTTGTGGATGTTTCACCTTTTTGGCAACAATTAATAAATTACGTTCACTTCTTGATTTTAGTCATTGGGATTAACCCCTCCATGATAACAAGAGGAGAAGAGGCATTGCGGATACATCCACAATTTGATCAACTAAAATGGAGCACTGAATTAGAGATTGATCACAGCATCATAATATGGCATCTTGCCACAAGTGTTTGCTACTTACAAGAGAATAATCATGATGATGAAGCCATGAAAATTAGTAAACATGTATCAGATTACATGATGTATCTACTGGCCATGTGTCCTGCCTTGCTATTGTCCGAGCATAGTAAGAGTTTTTGGCTTGATCATGCTTATGACAACCTTAAAGAACTTTTGCCTCGTGCAACTGATACTGGGAATGCTGCTTCCGCATTACTTTCCATTCCAGATGATGTTCATGACGAGGAGCCTGAATCTAGGTTTGATGTCTTTAATGTCTTATTTTCATAGAATTATAAAATTAGAATTGAAGTAGTTTTATTTCTTTCTAAAATTCCTTCTTTTTTTTTTTTCTTGAACTGCAGGGAGAGAACTTTTGAAGACCTAAGAGGAGATGTGTTGAAACTAGCCACAATTATAAACCAATCAAATAATAAATGGGAGATGATTAGGGATGTCTGGATGGAGATGCTTTCCTATGCAGCAATTTCAAGTCAGCACATTAATCACGTTAAGCAGTTAGGAGAAGGCATTGAATTCCTCTCATTCATCTGGCTTGCCGCAGGCCTTGGCATCATCCTTAATGTCCTTGGAATGTAGTAGTGTGACCAACATCTGCAAGCTTGGCGGCCTTATGTCTCATGTTTGAATTACATACTTCAAGAAGTGGCAACGCAATTTATGTCACTTCCTAAATAAATTTGTATTTGGTATTTGTTGTGAACTTTGATATGTATCAATTAAACTACTCTTTAATGGTCAAGTTTAAAAATAAATATGGTTTTTTAAGCCTCTATTTTGTATAATTGTAATTTTGAGATTTTAGCTTTAATTTTCAAAAAATTTACAATCTCTCAAATAAAATTAAATTGTTTTATAAATTAATTAAGTCCAGGGTTTTGAGTATTTATTTTAAAATTTTATATTCAATAAATTGATCATTTTAATTTTTAATTTTAGTTTTTAAATGTTAATTTTAATTGTTTAAATTTTAAAAATTAAAACAAAAAATTCAAAACCATAATTATGCAATTTTCATAGTTTTATTAATGTTGATTTCAATTTATTTGTATAGATAAATTTACTGGACAATTATGAAAGGATGCTTGCAATATTTGTGATTGTTTATTTTCAAATTTCTGCTGCTCAATTAATGGAGGTTCTCGTGGAAGCATATATATTAATTTAGCTTATGAAACTTATGAGAGGGATTTGCCTACCAAAAAACCCTCAAGAATTCGATTATTTTAATAAAGGTAGTGACATAGAAATAATTTTTTTATATTATTTTCTTATAAAATTTACATATGTTATTAAATGGATAAATACATTTAATATTATGAATCTTAAACAAAAAATTTAATCATTTAAAAAATACATAAAATTATATCAAAATGTGATATAAAAAATTATTCATAAATTAATTTTCAAGAAAATAAATTAATTAATATTTTAAAATTTTTTAAAATTTTCCTTAACTTACTCAACAGTAAAAAATATTTTAAAAAATAAAGTTATATTTCTCAAAGCAAACGGCCGCCTATAGTGTCCTTTTTTTGTGATTTTCCGAAATGATTTAAAAGAGGCCGCCGGAGCAAAAAATGGTTACTTTATACACGTCGTATAGGCGTAACCCCCCACCCCCCTCTTCTGCTCTACCAACGGCGCATGTTAAACCCTTGCTCAACCCAAACCTTGAAGCCTCTACCCCTTGTTGCCCTTTTTTCAGCCACTTCAATCAATACTTCCACTCTCCACAAGCTTCGCCTTCCCAGCGTCGCTATTCATTAACAGATCCGATCTAAGTTCTCCCCTTCGGCTTCGCCTTCTTCCTATTAAGGAAACTGCATCTGCTGCAGTAAAGTAGGAAACTGAATCTGCAGCAGTAAAGTAATTGCCCAGGATTGTATATTTTCAATTAATGTGTATCTTAGATCTTATTCTAGTCTTATTAGAATTCCTGTATACAGTAGGACAATCTTGTATATAAACACATCTTGTATGGCTGAATAAAACACACAAAAACAGAGCTTCATACCAGAAATAGAGTTTCATACCAGTCTGCTGCAATAGTGGTATCAGAGCCCCACCTCCAACGAGACCTCTGACCTCTTTACTTCCCAACCATGGACTCCGACAGCAGCTCCTCTGAAACCAACGCAGTCAACCCAAACTCAGCAGCCATCGTGATCAACAATCAACGCGGCCCCTTCTCATTCAACGCCGCGGCTTTTCCCTTAAAGTTGACTCCAACTAATTATTTATCTTGGAAATCACAATTCACTTGTCTTCTTGCAGGATTTGAGCTCCTTGGTTATTTGGATGGTTCTCATCCATCCCCTGTTGCCACAGAACCAAGCTACAGTCTGTGGGCACGCCAGGATCAGTTAATTCGCCATGCACTGATTACTTCCGTATCCGAGAGCATAACACCATACATAGCCGCTGCAGCTACGGCACAACAGGCATGGGAAACATTAGCGAGACTCTATGCAAATCGATCTCGCACCCGTGTCATCACCCTTAAGGAGCGCCTGCAGAACACGCGTCGTGATGGTTGCTCGGTGTCTGAATATCTCCGAGCGCTCAAGTCTGTGGCAGATGAATTAGGGACAATAGATCGGCCTCTCACTGATGATGATCTTACAGTCTACATATTGAATGGACTGGGACCAGAATTCCGAGAGATAGCAGCCTCTCTTCGTACTCGTGATTCATCCCTCTCCTTTGATGATCTGCACGATCGACTGGTGGCTCATGAGGAAAGCCTTAGGCGAGAGGAACTCAAGGCTGATTCTTCCCCAATAACCGCACACTATGCTTCAATCCCGAAGTCTATGTCGCCATCACAGGTTGGTCTTTTTCCACCCGCCTCAAACAATCGTTACTCACCTTCAACTTCTTCACAGAATCGCAGAGGTGGAAACTCATATCAGCAGAGGCCCAACAACAGAAGGCGCGGTTCATTCTCCAGGCCCAACAACATTAGTCGACCCACTTGCCAGTTATGTAACCAGGCTGGTCACTTTGCCCGGAGTTGTCCCTATCATCGGATCCAGAATCTGAACCCCCAGGCCAACTTTGCTTCTTCTGTTGCACCAGCTGCTGATGATTGGCTCTTAGACTCAGGAGCAACTAATCATGTAACCACTGATTTGGCAAACCTTGCACTCCACTCTGAGTATCATGGTCCTGATGAACTCCAAATTGGTGATGGAACAGGTTTGCATATTACACATGTGGGTCATACCACACTCTCTACTCCCTCCTACTCCCTTCCTTTAAAAGACATATTATGTGTTCCCCAAGCATCTCGAAACTTAATCTCTGTTTCTCAATTATGTAAAAGTGCTGATGCTTTTGTCGAATTTCACCCCACTTTCTTTTTGGTGAAGGATCGTCGCACGAGGGAGACACTGTTGCGAGGCAAAAACACTCATGGGGTTTATCACATCCCCGGTCAAGTTAAAGCACAACCTGCGGCCCTAGTTGGAGAACGTGTTAGTTTGGCAAATTGGCATTCGCGTTTAGGTCATCCTTCTACAAAGATCATTAAAACTATTGTTAAAAATTTCCATTTACCTATTTCTAATAAAATGAGTTCCCTTTTCTGTGATTCTTGTGCATGTTCCAAAAGTCATAAACTTCCATTTTCAAAGTCATCTATTACAAGCACGCATCCTTTAGAACATGTCTACTCCGATGTTTGGGGTCCCGCCCCAATCACTTCTGTGGATGGATTCCAATACTTTGTTTTGTTTATTGATTTTTTTAGTCGTTACATATGGATTTTTCCACTCAAACAAAAATCTGATGTTTCTCTAATTTTTTCCAAATTTAAGTCTCTTGTGGAAAATCAATTTGGCCACAAAATTAAAAATTTTCATTCTGATGGTGGGGGTGAATTTATTGCCTTGCGCGGTTTTCTCTCTCAACAAGGCATCTCTCATTTTATCTCTCCGCCTTACACTCCTGAATTACACTCCTGAATTAAATGGTATCAGTGAACGTCGTAACCGTCATATTGTAGAAACTGGTCTTGCCCTATTGCACCATGCTTCCCTACCTTCCGCTTATTGGTCTCATGCTTTTCAAACTGCGGTGTATCTAATTAATAGATTGCCCACTGCAGTGCTCTCTTCTTTGTCTCCCTTGGAGAAGCTTTTTAAAATTAAACCCAATTATTATAAGTTGCGTACCTTTGGGTGTTTGTGCTATCCTTGGCTTCGTCCTTATAACACAAACAAATTACAATTTCGATCTCGCCCTTGTGTTTTTCTTGGCTATTCAAATGAGACTTTGGGTTACAAATGTTTGGATTTACACTCTAGGAAACTATTTACCTCCCGTCATGTTGTTTTTCAAGAGTCTACTTTCCCATTTAAAAATTCCACTTTCTTGTGTGATGCCTCTAATTCCTCACCGGTTTTCCGTGATATGCCAATGATGCCAAACTCCACGAGTGCAGGTATGAGTGTTGAGCCTCCTCCATTGTTCCCTTGTGTACCGACTCACTCTCACCGCCCACCTAAGTTCCACAATGCCCAACCCAGCCATGAGCAACCTGCAGCTTCTATTTACCCATTATCTACCCCTATGTCCACTAGCACACCCTCTCCCCTTCCTTCCCTTACTTCACCATCCTCTCCCATTGAGACCAATTCTGTTCACCAATCCCCTGCCCCATCCGATTCCCACTCCTCCCCTCTTAGGTCCCCACCACCGCAACCTCTTCGGACTCACCCAATGGTCACTCGTTCCCAAAACAATATTTTCAAACCTAAGACACTCTTCCATGCAACTAAATCTCCATTGTCCCTCCCCATTGAACCCACTTGTGTCACACAAGCTCTTAAGGATCCCAATTGGAGACAGGCTATGTCCGAGGAGTTTAGTGCATTGGTTCGCCAAGGAACGTGGGAACTGGTTCCTTCACAACCATCTCAACATGTTCTTGGTTGCAAATGGGTATTTCGCTTGAAAAGAGGCAAAGATGGGTCCATTGAGCGCTATAAGGCGCGTCTTGTTGCGAAGGGCTTTCATCAACGACCAGGTTCTGATTACTTTAATACTTTCAGTCCTGTTATCAAGCCTACCACCATTCGTACTGTGTTATCTCTTGCAGTGAGTAGGGGGTGGTCTATTCAGCAATTAGATGTTAATAATGCTTTCCTTCATGGACACATTGATGAGGTATTATACATGCAGCAACCGACAGGCTTTGTGGATCACAATTTTCCTTCACATGTTTGTAGGCTACGAAAATCTTTGTATGGCCTTAAGCAGGCCCCTAGGGCTTGGTTTCAAGCTCTGAAGGACTTCATTTTGGCTCAAGGCTTCTTTCACTCCAAGTCTGACAATTCCTTATTTATCTATCATAAAGGGTCCACTTGGATCTATTTTTTGGTCTATGTCGACGATATCATTGTTACTGGGAATGATTCTGCTGCCGTTCAATCCATTGTGCAAGTCATGAGTACCACTTTCTCCCTCAAAGATCTTGGTCCTTTGAGTTTTTTTCTCGGCATAGAGGCAATCTCTACTAAGGATGGGCTTTTTCTCTCTCAACAGAGGTATATTCTTGATCTTCTTCAGAAAACTGGTATGGCTGATGCTAAACCTGTCTCCAGTCCTTTGGCTTCTACTTCTGTTCTGCAGCTATCCACTGGCACTCCTCTCTCTGATGGCACCAATTATAGGAAAATTGTTGGCTCTCTTCAGTACTTATCTCTTACACGGCCTGATCTATCCTTTGCTGTTAGTCGCTTGTCTCAGTTTATGCATCGTCCTACTGATTCTCATTGGCAAGCTGTGAAACGCGTTCTCCGTTATCTTCGCGGTTCTGTCTCTCACGGCTTACTTTTGCGACCCCAGCCAACATTGTCACTCCATGCATTTTCCGATGCTGATTGGGCCGGAGATCGGGATACTTATACCTCAACCACTGGCTATCTTGTCTTTCTTGGCAGCAATCCTGTGTCTTGGCGCGCTGCTAAGCAACGAGCAGTTGCTCGGAGCTCTACTGAGGCTGAGTATCGAGCTTTAGCTACTGCTGCCTCTGAAGTTGTTTGGATTTAGCATTTGCTTTCTGAATTGGGTGTCTCCTCCTCTGTTCCTCCTGCCATTTTTTGTGACAACATTGGTGCCACCTATCTTAGCAGCAATCCTGTTTTTCATTCTCGGATGAAGCACATTGCCATTGATCTTCATTTCGTGCGTGAACTAGTCGATCGGAAGGTTTTACATGTTTCACACATTTCTTCTCAAGATCAATTGGCTGATGTTCTTACCAAGGCCCTTCCTTCTCTTCGGTTTCATTCTTTGAGGTCCAAGATCGGTGTTGCCGATGGCACCTCCGTCTTGCGGGGGCATATTAAGGAAACTGCATCTGCTGCAGTAAAGTAGGAAACTGAATCTGCAGCAGTAAAGTAATTGCCCAGGATTGTATATTTTCAATTAATGTGTATCTTAGATCTTATTCTAGTCTTATTAGAATTCCTGTATACAGTAGGACAATCTTGTATATAAACACATCTTGTATGGCTGAATAAAACACACAAAAACAGAGCTTCATACCAGAAATAGAGTTTCATACCAGTCTGCTGCAATACTTCCAATCACGAACCAGAAATGGCAATCTCTGCTCAAGCTCCTGATATTCAAGGAGAGCGTCAATCTGGCCAAGATGTTCGCACACAGAACGGTACTTCCTCTCTACGTCTCTTCACGTCTTTATTTGTGTTCTATTATGGCCGTCAAAGTTATTTTGCTCAATAAATTGCAAAACTGAGTTGATTCCAACCTTATTGAAGTGCTTTCCTCGCTTGAAACTCATTTTTCTGTCATTTTGTATGCGTGTAACAGTGATGGCGTGCCAAGCAGTTGCTAACATCGTCAAATCCTCACTAGGCCTCGTTGGACTCGACAAGGTATGTTTATGCAAGTGCCTTATTTCACTGCTTTATGAGGTTTTAACTTACAAAGTATGACCATTTTTATGTTGCAATTATGATGCTTATGGAAAATCAGTTGAGTTTATTTTGAACAATATCTATTATCTATGGTTTTGCTGTTGGTTTTATTTTTAAAATGTCGTTCAGATAGTTTAAGATTGTTAGGATTGGATTTGAATTTGACTCACTATGATTTGTGTTGTTTTATTTCAGATGCAGGTACTAGTAGGGTTGGCTGAGCTTCAAGACCGAGAATTGGTGACGGCAGAAGATGATAACGATCATTCTGTATGTCTATATCCTCTCTATGCATAAAAATGGCGATGATTATGATGATGTTTTGGCGATGGATGTGACGTAGATTAATGTTTGGAAGGATCGGAGAAGATGCGGGGGTACGCGTGCTGAACGCGGTGGCGGCATTTGTTGCAGCGGAAGAGCTTGTCGGAGAAGCCAACGTCGCCGCACATGCAGCAAACAGTCTGAATATCCACCACTGTTGAAGGCTCCAAGGCGGCGGAGAGAGACTGAAGATGAAGAGAGAAGTAACAGAAAAGAGTGATGGTTTCAAGGTTGGTGTATAAATATATAACTAGCTAATACCACGGGCATCGTCCGGGCCGTGAAATGAAAAAAATATATATTTAAAAATTTAATATAAACTAATATATTAATAAAAAGTAATTAATAAAATATTATTAAAATACATATACAATGTTATATAAGATTAGTAATACTTTTTTTATTAGCAAAGAAAATTTTATTAAAGAGTTGCAAATAGTACTTTAAATATGTTTATAAAACTATTATAAAATAAAAACCATTCTGCTAGCATGATTCTTTTCCATACCATTATGCAAAAAAAAATTCTCATTTTTTAAATAAGTTTGTATAATCATATAAAAGGTACAAGCAGATGAAAATGTTTTATATGGACTTCAACACACTTGCTTAGACACAATCAAAGAGAAAAGAACAATATCTATATGAGATCTATTAGTTTTTTTTTTCTTTTTTCTTTTTTCATTTTACATATCACAAGTCAATCTTTTATTTACAATAACAACTGTTATAGTAGAGACAAAAGGTATTATGCTTATCTTTTTCTTACCAAAGTTCTCTTCCGCCACCTCCACTCTTTCTCCTTGTTTCCTTATTCCTTTGACTGAATATATATCCAAACCTTAAATCTATGTATCTAAACCTGAAAAACAAAAATAAATAAATAAAAATAGTCTAAAGAAAGAAATCAATGTATCTGCACATGGAAAAAACTTGGAAAAAAGACATGGAAAAGTTATAAAGAACAAATATTTACTCCAAAAACCAGCTAAATTAGTTTCCTGTCTTGAATTGTAAAAATAAATAAATAAATAATCAGTTTAGAAAATTGCATAATAGTTTCAAATGTAATTCCTAAAGACACTAAACAAAAAAGGCAATAATATAATCAAGGAGATGATTTACATACCCAAAACATTTCAACCTGTTTTTAATTTTACCATCTATATCAAAGATGTAAAGTTGGGCAAATTTAGGACTCTCATTTGGAACAGGGAGAAGACTGCCCACATGATGATGAATTTGACCCCCAAGTCTAAAAATAGGAGGCTTTGAACCTTGATTGATCAAGGGATCAACTTTACCTCCAAAAGATGTAAATGCAAACATCATATTATACGCCCTAAGATTGCATAGGAAATTCCTACTGCGATCTTCTTCAGCTTTGTGTGAATGGGTGAGTAAATCAAGAATAGGCTTGAGAAGAGGCAATTGAACCTTGCCATTCATACAACACAAAGTGAATTCTGGATTGATTGGGTAGCGGTCTTTCTTAGTTCGCTCATCATACCACATTAATGCACCACAATACTTGCGTTTGTATATAGGGTCCCCAATATCTAAGTAACCTACAAACAATTTGTTTGAGTTACAATCTAAACAAAAAACCATAAATCCAAGGGAAGTCCAATCTATGAAATTAGAGACGAAAGAATTTTAAAACAAAGTATGATACCATTATCAATAAATATGCATAGTTAATAAGATTGGAATGTATGTCAATAAAAGAATAATAAAAACAAATCAGAAAACAAATTCACCATCAGAGATTGGAGACAAAATATCAGTATTCCCTTTCCAAATAACAGCTTGTTAATATATGATGAAAAAAAAAAACAGTAGACAAAACATATATAGCTTAAACTTTAAATGAATGAGTCTAGCATTATACCTGTAAAGCCATTTATACTTGAATTACTTGAATTATCAATTACTGACGTTTGTGAGCACCTATTTGGATTTTTATTCCTTTGCAAAATAGAAGACTTTCGTCTATTACCAACAACTTTATTTTTACCTGTACTGCATCAAATAATATAAAATCAAGTGAATGAATGCTCAATTAACATATTCTGAGAGATTTAAAACAAATTAGTAATAGTCATATGAAACAACCCTGTCTTTAATTGAAGGTTTAAACAAACATATGTCCTTAATTTAAAGTCTTTACAACCCTGTATACTTAACTATAAATTTCTTTAAACTTGAGTGCCTTAACTTAAAAAAGTTGGTAACTTTTTAACAGTAAAAGAAGTGTATACACGTCTATTGGCATGTAATTGCCAAGAACACTTGAGAAAAGTTACATTCCACTAAGAGTTGTTCGCACTTCAAATGGATTATCTTGCAACTTAGTGGAGAACTAAGTTCATCTTGCCATTTCCCTCTTTGTCACCAAATGGTAAAAGAGGAAAGGAAGTTGAGAGTTCATGAGAGCTATAGAATGCTAGGGTTTGAAGAATTCAAGAGGGTTCCCAAGTCGTGCACAACTTAGGTAAGTGAGTATTAGTCCTATACTAAATGTAGAGGCATGCAACAACAGTTGAATTGTAGGACTTGAGGCAGATTATGGTTATGGTCAAGCTAACTCGAAGTAAGTTAACTATTCATTTAGCCAGTTTAAGTTTAGAAGATGGTGAAGAATTTATATGTCTATCCAGATTGGTAAAACAAAGCCCAAAACCTAGTCCCGCCTCCATTAATGTGTCTATCCAAATTTTGCACTTAGAACATGTTGGAGTGTTTATCAGTTTGTTTTGAGGAAACTTATAAAGTTCTTAGATATTTAAACTAAGCATGGATTGTACTTGAGTTTTTATGCCCCACAACTATCCTAAAATTTTTTTATTAAGTAAAAATGTTTTCAAATCAAAACTTTAAACTCTATCCCAATTGGTTTAGCCCTTTTGGGATGTTATATGACAAGTAAAACAATTTAAAAAATAGGTAATAGACAAAGTAAGGCATATATTCATTTACTAAACATTTAAATAATACGAAATAACACAACTGTTAAAAAATCTGATAAAAATAAATATCAAATAAAGATCTTACGTTATAGAAGAAGAGACTAATGATTTTGTTGCACAATCTCTAAAAAAATCAAAACTTTCCTTAACTTCTGTCCATGGCTAGAGTCAATGACAGGGAAAACAACATCATCACAGTTTTTCTTTCTCTTGACACTATGCTCAGAAGGATTAAGCAAATAAGCTGGAGATTAACATAAAACAAAACATAAAGATGAAGATAAAAATGATATAAAACATATGAAAACTAATCTAAATTTTAATAATGATATAAAATTTTTCACACATATATTCACTTATAATTTGAAATATCACATAAAGCTAATCTATTAAAAGGTTGAGAAGCATCAATATGAATTCCAGATGGAGCTATAGGAGTGCCAACATTGTTCTCTTTTAAACTGCAAATAAAGTAATACAGGCATTTTCATATGATATATTGAATCAAACAATCATATAACACTGATAAGAAACTATGAAATAAAGATCTTACGTTATATTGGAACTCCTTCGATATGTAGATGCACTTTCTTTAATGGTTAAATTAACATGAATATTTTGAATTTAATAAATAAATAACAAAAAAACCCATTATTTGATGATTAAAAATAATTTTTTCATGCACCACATATTTATTATTTTAATAAAATCAAACATCTTATTTATTGGACAGTATAAGCACAAACCTATCAAGAGTGATTGAGAATTAAGCATTAATCAGTTATAAATAAGATTGTAGATTATCTACAAATCTAGATAAACTGTTGATGTGATACTCTATGGATAATTGAATTCAACTTTTTCTAGTTCCAAAAGTTCATCCGAGTTTATGTTTCAAAACACTCAATCATCAAAGTGAACTGCAAAGACTAACCTTGGAGATGAGAAGGCGATAGAGTGGGGTTGGTAACTTTCCAGTACAGTGGTTTGGAGGTAGCTTCGTTTTTGATTATCAAAGACGCAAAACAAGACCCAGCATCGCCTAGTACTGATGAAAAGGTGGAATAAAGAGAGACAAAAAAAAGTACATAAAGTGAGTGAGAGGAGGGGGAAAAAGCGTGACGGGGAGGACAAAGCAATTTTCATATTCCTAGATTTGAATGGAATCCGGGTGAGGAAGCCGGTACTCCGACGAAGCCTATTACTATGGCCGGAGTGGAAGGAGATTCAGCAGCAATGAGGAAGATAGGGTCATGGCTTTGGTGAGGAAAGGGTTCGGCAGCAATGAAAAAGAAAAGATGATGAAGATCGGCAACGGCCATGGCTTTGGTGAGGAAGGAGATTTAGCAGCAATGAGGAAGATAGGGTTTCAATTTGTGGTGGAGAAGCGGAAAAGATGAGATTTAGACTTTTTGGTAAAAAATGATTCAGGTAAAAATAAAAAGGTAATATTTTTTAATAAGAATTTAGAAAAATAGGTAATATAATTGAATTGAATTAAATTAAATTGATTGATTGAATTTAAGAAAAAAAAATATAATGGTATAATGAGTATTATTATATTAAAAAGATATGATATTAATTATTAAGGGTATAGTAATAATTTTATCATTTTTATTTTTAAATTTGATATAGTGTGAAACGAAGTATTTTTGAACTGGTTTCAATCCAGTTTTGATCCAGTTCAAAGATTCAAGATAAAAATTATATAATTTATAAGTATGAACACACAGTGTGAATACAAAAGGATTTTTTTAATTTTGCTGTAATATATTTTTAGAAGTGACGTGGAAAAATGAAAATAAATATAATAAAAATTTTAAAAAAATGAAAACATTTTAACGTTATTTAATGTTAATAAATGATAATAAAAAAATTAATATATTTTTAATACATTAATATGTACAAAAATTTAATAAAAAAATTTAAATAATTTTATAGAAATT